CCCTTGTTTTCTGCCCACCTCCTCCCGCCATCCCGCTGTGCGCGCTAACCTCCCCTCGGCTTCCACCGATCTCCGTCCGCCTCTGCCCGCCTCTCCTCTGCCTGCTGCCTCCGCCCACCTTCTCTCCGCGCAGCAAAGATGATTCCTTGGAGGGAKGGGGKGGGGGGGGGAAGGGGGAGAGAGAGAGAGAGAGAGAGAGAGAGAGAGAGAGAGAGAGAGAGAGAGAGAGAGAKGCTGCCATTGGTGTAATAGCACCAAGCACACTTCGAMKMAATGGCCCGASARRGRSAAAGASRGCATTCGCCTACAACAAAGCTTGGGAAACTGAGCTCTGCAGGAATTGAGGCGACTCCACTTCCAATTCCGCCGAACATGGTTGCCTTGCTAGCAACCTCCTACACACCTACGAAGCATGCGGATGTCGTAAGTCTTCAAGACACTTTCGAAAAACTATGTTGTCCAGTTGGTCCCTCCGCTGGACTTACCTCTCCACGTGCACGATGCTCACGTATGCGCGGTTTCATCACCATTGGCAAGTGAACCAGCTTCATTGTCGACACTAAGATCCGGGGACTCGTCGGTGTGGTCAAGACTCGAGGACCTCGATCCATTGATGATGGAAGACTTCCAATGGTTGCCTCTTCCCCCATCCGGTTCGCCGCCGAAACCGCATTGCAACGCCTTGATGGCGGAGCTATGCAAGTACTTGCATGCTACAGTGCCAACTCCGTTGACGGACGGCGGAGTAGCGGCTGTTGACCTTCGTGAGTATATTGTGAAGATTGACCGAGAGTATGCCACGCTACGACAACATCGACGCGTTGTTACTTTACATCACCATTCAGATTGGAAAGGCGACCTCTTGATCGATTGTGGATCGATTGTGGACTAAATCAGCCAAGACTTCATGGTGCAAGTCTGTCTCGGTTCGCGCGTTCGAAGGAAGTCGCAGCCCACCCAAGTCACATTGGCCGACAGTTACACGCACAAGTCCATTGACCGTTGCATCGACACGTCGCACGTGTACTTTGCCCCGCACGCACGTGAGGCCGTGTCCTTCGACATTTTGGGCACAAAGTTCGACATGATCTTGGGCGTGTCGTGCCTGCGAAGCGAGGACGACCCGATGAACTTCTATCGTTGCACCGTTCATGTTCGTGATCGGAACGGGATACTCGTCCCATGCACGGTTCCTCCGCCTCAACCTTCAGTCGGTTGTCACGTGGTCTTCACAGAAAACATACGCATCTCCATCGCATGGCAAGACGTTGAAGAAATGGGCATTTGCTTCTTGCACGCCCTCCCTCCTCCCTCCTAGCCAGCGACGGAAGTGCCACCGGACCCACGCATTGTAGAGCTTCTAGACTCCTTCGACAATGTCTTTGAAGCTCCTGTCGGAATAGTACCGGCTCGGCCAATTCGTCACGAGATCATCCTCAAAGACGAGGCCGTGCCTCCACGCGGATGTTTTTATCGCATGAGCGAAGAGGAACTCGAAGTGCTTCGAACGCAAGGGCGGGATACGCCCTAGCTGCTCGCCCTATGGTGCTCCCATTCTCTTCATTCGGAAGAAGAACAAGGAACTGCTGTTATGTATTTACTACCACAAACATTACGCGCAAACCATTAAGAATGCTGGCTCGCTACCGCGGATCGGCGATCTTCTCGAACGTTTGGGCAGTGCTACGTTCGGGTTACCACGAAATTGAGATCCATCCACTGGATCGGTACAAGACCGCGTTCAAAACGCAATACGGGCACTTCGAGTGGGTCCTAATGCCATTCGGTCTCGTGAATGCCTCGACCACCTTCCAAGCAGCAATGACGACGATGTTCTGCGACATGTTGGACCGGTTCGTGCTCATCTACCTCAACGACATCGTGGTGTATAGCCCGACTTTGGACGAGCACCTCGCGCATCTACACGCCATTTTGGACAGGTTACGTACAAGTACAATGCCAACTGAGCCAAGTGCGGATTCACACAACAAGAGCTCGAGTACTTGGGCCACTTTGTGACGCCACAAGGCATCCATCCGCTCGCGGACAAGATCAAGGCCATTCAAGATTGGCTGGAACCGACCAACACTACGGAGGTTAACTCTTTCATAGGATTGGTCAGGTACTATCAACGCTTCATCGGTTGATACGCACGGATCGCCGCACCTTAGTCAAAATTGCAGTCTCCAAAGGTGCCCTTCCACTTCACCAACGAAGTCTGAAGTTCATTCCACAAATTGAAGACGGCGTTGCTCCTCGCCTCCGTCTTGAGTATCTACGATCCCACCTTGCCAACGAGAGTGACTACGGTCGCTTCCGGCTACGACATTGGGGCAGTTTTGGAACAACACGGCGGAGTAGATTGGCGGCCGGTTGAGTCCTTCAGCCAAAAGGTGCCTCCCATCAACTCGATTGATGATGCACGGAAGGAGTTGCTTGCATTCGTTACAGTAATGGAGCATTGGCGACACTTCCTCCTCGGGCATCGTAGGTTCACTTGGGCAATGGATAACAACCCATTGACCTACTACAAGACGCAATACACAGTGATTAGCACGATTGCTTGGTGGATGTGCTTCATCGACCAATTCGACTTCACACCGAAACACATTTCAGGTCTCTCAAATCGAGCCGCGGACGCTCTCTCGTGAAGAACAGATCTTTGTGCAGCGATCCATCACGTGTTTGACTTCAATGACGATATTCATCAGCAATTTGTGCGCGCGTACAAGTTGGATCCGGAATATGCCACTCTCTATGAGCAACTTTCTTCGGATCACCCACCGACCAGCCATTATCGCATCGCCAATGACTACTTAGTTCTCCATTCACGAGGCAAGGACTTACTATGCATCCCACAGGACCGTGGACTACGGACTTGCCTTCTCGGTGAGTTCCACGATTCACGACTCGCCGACCACTTTGGAGTCGACCGTATGAGTGCAAGACTGCGACAAAGATTTCGGTGGCCCGGCCTCATTACCGATGTCATTCGGCATTGCGAATCTTGTGAAGTTTGCTGACGAAGCAAACCCGCAACTGCAACCCCTATGGCGAGTTGCGCCCGTTACCTATCCCTTGGGAACCCAACCTCTCCATTGATATGGATGTCACCGGCCATTCCCCCACGATTGCTTCGGGCACGACGGCATTCTCACGCTTGTTGACCGTTTGAGTATGTACGCACGATGTCTTCCCTGCACGTATCACGCCACGGCTCCCAAGCTCATGCGACTCTTGCACACCGGCTGGATTTGCAGCCACGGCGTTCCGGAAGACGCTCGTTTCATATCGGCATTTTGATCTTCTCTCATGAAAGAGTTTGGCACCGAGATGAAACCGAGTTTGGCTCGGCATCCACAAACGGACGGGCAAACGGAGCGGGCACATCAAACCACTCAAATGATGCTTTGTACGCTCATCCGTCCGGACCAGAAGGATTGGGTTGACCGCCTCCCCGACATCAAATTCGCCTACAACACTTCACTGCATTCGGCGATCGGCGTGACTCCATTCGAGTTGCACCACGGTGACCGGAAAGGCCGTATCTTCGTCGATCTCTTATTCCCACGGATTGCTAACATTGACGCCCTTTTCTCTCCCGCCTACATTCGGAAGTACCAGGACTTGCTGGCTCAAGCTCGTGCAAACATGCTAAAGGCTTAAGTTTGCATGCAACAGCAAGCCAATTGGCGTTGCGTGCCATGTCCTATCCGCGCCGGCGACCTTGTTTGGGTCTCCGCGGAGGAGTTTGTGCCCGAACAAAACGTTTTGTGCAAGCTACTCCCCAAGTGGTCTGGACCGTGGACCGTCACATCAGCCGCGGGCAACGAGCCCGATGGCCCATCTTTTGTGATCGCAATCCCGCTGCATCTACCAGTTACGCGGTCTTCCACGCCTCCAAGCCGGCTACGTATACACCAGCCAAGAGCGACGACTTCCCGGACCGACGATCGCAGGACCCTCCCTCTATGGATGGTCATCAGGAGATCGATCGCGTCGTCACGCACCGCAAGTACAAGCAGATGCAATACAAGGTCGCATTTAAAGGTTGCAACCGCAACCACACATGGTGGATTTTGCGAGCAGATTTGCAAGCATCCGCACCACTGATCTACACACACCACGAGCGACAAAGACTAGCGAAGGAAGCTGCACAACCTGCCCCTCCCACCTGGACTTCCGTCCCTCCCTCCGACAGACAGGTTCGCCCTCGCAGGTAAGCTCGGTCCTTCAAGGAAGGGGGGGGGGCATTCTGAGTTCCACATGGGCCCCTGCAGGGCCCGACCAGGTAGGCTAGGGGCTAGGTAGGGGGCCCTACAGGCCCTGTGTCGTTGCACTATAGGTAGGGGCCCTCCAGGCCCTGTGTCGTTTCACTATAGGTAGGGGCCTCCAGGCCTGTGTCGTTTCACTATAGGTAGGGGCCCTCCAGGCCTGTGTCGTTTCAGCCTAGTTAGACCCCGTAGGTCGGTATCGACGACATGTTGGGTTGGCAACATCTCTCCTTCTCCCCCCCCCCTCTTTGTCTCTCCTCCCTCCTCCTCATCGGTGCCTGGTGCTTCGTCTCTGTGTGATTGCGCCAGGTCTTCCTTCACACCGTGTGATGATGATGATGATGATGATGTTCAGTTTGTTTCACGACATTGATTGGGTCTGATTATTGGTATTTCAGTCTTCCGCTGTGATATCCTTACTACATCTGTGAGACGTCAGTTCTGGGTTCTGGTCTGCACCATTTTGGTGTGTGTGTGTGTGTGTGTGTGTGTGTGTGT